TAGCGTCCTTCGCGGTTATCATCGGAGGGGTACCCGACCCCTCCGGCATCGCGGCATCGCGCGTAGCGTCCGTCGCGGTTCTTGCGCGTCGCCCTGTGGCGACGTCTTGTGTCTTCTTCCTCGGAGGGGTTTTTTGTACCCTCCGAGGTGTAGCCTTGAGCGCTGGGTGGGCTTCTTCTGCTCGACCGATACGGCTGTCGCTTTTCTGTCGCAAAGCGCCCCAGGCGGTTTTCTGTCCCGCAGGGGCCAGCCATATCGGCGAGTACGGGAGGGCCATTTTCTGTGGGCCCTCCTGTAGCACCATAAATTGGTGGGAGGAAAATGGTCTTACCCTCCGGGTGAGGGGCCATTGTACCGATCCCGGGTGCGGCGCCGATCGGTTGAGCGTGCGGTAGCGTAAAATCGGAAGCGGTTGAGTCGCGCTGCGCGTGCGCGTCGACTCCTGCTTCGGCGGGAAAGGTCGTGGCCAGACGATTGGCCACGACGGAGCTGATCGCTCCCTTTAGAGCCGTACCGGACGGGGATTCTTCATCCACAGTGGTGAGCGCGGTCACCACCTCGCATTGGACTTGAGCGGGTAGAAGTTCGTCCAAAAGTGGTGGTATCGCGCTGCGTATGTGTGCGTCCATGAGCGCGGGCACCGTTCGGTCGAGGCATACGCGCGCTACCTGGGGGAGTTCTGTAGCGAGGAACTCCTCGACCCAGGCCTGGATGCGCGGCTGAATCGCGTCGACCATCCATTGGACGCGATTCTCAGTGCCTGCCGACACGGCCGGCGTAACATCCGATGCGGACGCTCGCGTGCGGCCCAGTCGCGGTGGTAGTCGCAGCAGGGCTTCCGGGTTCTCCACCCGGGGGCGCGTTGCGCCACTGCCACTGCGAGTGCTGAGACGCCCGGAGGCGGAGTCTCCCCCTTCTTCCGGTCGGTTCATCGTCGAATACGCTTCGCGATCGACGCGGTGATTTCTCAACCTTTTCGGTCCGTACGCTTCTGCGCGCGATCGAGCGACTACGCGTGCGGCTCAACCTCAAGAGTTATTCCCTCCACAAGAGTACCAAAATGTGGGAGAACTCCTCTCCGCCCTGGGTTGGTGAGAGGCGGAGGCTATATTGAGGGAGCACACGGCGTGGACGCGACGCGCTAATTGAACCGATCGGACGAGCTCGCGAAAAGGGAGTGGCTCACTGGCCGATTACGCGCAGTCGCCCCGTGGTGCGTGAACGGGAGCGACCGGTAACGGGTTAGAAGCCAGCGCGCGCGATAGACAACCGAAACGGACGTATATAGGCGCGAAAGAGACGGCGGCGAGCTTGCCCCAGTTTACTGTTGGGGACGGGTGTCAGGTCTTAACCCCTCAGAGGGACGCCTCGGACACCTGTCCCAGTATACAGCAGTGCAGTACCTGCCGCCTAGTGCGTGCCGGGTACTGTACACAATTAAAAAGCTAGCGCCTCAATTCCTAATTACCGCGCGGACGCTGCAGCTACGCGTGTGTACTACTGTACACACGCGCTGCTTACAGACTACCGCACGGATGCCACGTGTGCTAGCGTACACGCGTAATACTGGCAGACTACCGCATGGCCGACACGTGCACTACTGTACACGGACGCCAGATTACGACCGCTCGGCACGCGCGCGCTCCCTACACGTGAGCACACCCGCCCACGTGTCCACCGTGCACGGCCGTACTGTTAATAATCTCCCCACGCGCGTGTCCGTCGTTATACTACAAGCATTATCTCCCCCAGGTCTGCTTGTTTGTATTTTCGTGCAGTCTATGAAACCTACACTGTTTTACAGCGGCGCTCCCTTGTACCGAACAGCGTCTGCATACAACTGCGCCCGTTCCTGCATTTGATTTGTCTTGAATCCCTCCAACAGCTGCCCGTGCGTTTCAATAAACTCTTCAACAACCTCCCAGAACACCTCACTCAGTGCTGAAGCGCACATCCCAAACAGAGGTTCGAGATCGCGCCAAATTGTGGGAAATGACAAACGCTTCAAAACAATGCACGTGGTGGTCATGCTGTTGCATCGATACCTCTTTCGCGTAGGAAGTCCACTCCACGCCAGCACATCTCGTACTTGACTGATCTCGCTTCTGCGAAAGCGAAAGTCTGCAAGCGCCCGTTCATCACTGAACATGTTAAGGTTGAAGGTAATTCCGCTGATATATCGTGAGCGCATTCTAATAAGGCGGACGTCATGCCTTGAACGTTCGAGTGACTCGTTCAGGTGAAGGAGCAGGTGGGTAGGGGCACGGGCCGCAAATGCAAGCAGCAGCCGATTGCGTCGGTAGCGAAGGCGACGCCTGGAACGGCCGATGGCATAGTTCGTTAGTCTCATGACTGTGTGATGGCGTTTGGCGTCGACCAGTCGAAGAGGTTATGTGTAGTTCTCATAGATAAACCATTTTCGACACCGCGTAAACACCCAAAACCATTATTTTCGATGGAAATTCAGAACAGCACATGTCTCATTTTTGCGCATTTAGCCATGTGATTTTTTTTGCGTAAACCCTCTAATGCCAGAAAAGGCGACAATAATCTATCGCGAGTACACGTGCAAGGAGTAGACAAAAATCTTGAGCGACCTGAGATACTGTACAGGTCCATTAGAGCATGAGCATGGCTCTGTACAGTAATGTACTTTTTACGCTGAAAATCTGGCAAAACTGTCCACTTCCAAAAAAAAACAGCAATGCATTTCCCGCCCTGCCTTTTGGAGTTTCTTGGTGTCTTTTCATTAGTGGGCTTGCTTCGTTGCCGCGTCGCTCACCTGTAGCGCTGACCCACGTTGGGTGGTGAGTGCTCACTCCGTGCCTCACCGCCACCTGGAGCGGTGGCGTCTGTAGGGGCGAAAAGAGCTCTGCGCTGATGCCTTCCCGTAGAATAGGGCGTTTTGGCTCGGTAGTCATGCTCTCACAGAGTGAAGAGCGAATTGTGAAAAGCAAAGCCGATAGCAATGTCGTTCTAAACTTATGTTTTCGCTCGCTTCGACGAGCGCAGTCGTTGTCTAGAGAGAGGGACAGCGTCGACGCGGATCGGCCGACGGAATAATGTTTCGCATTGGGAGGACACCCCAAGCTAAGCAAATGCGTCAGTCTAGTGTATAGACGACCGGCACTTTGCCTCTGAGGTCAGCTTTTTTTGCAAAAATATATACATTAAATCGAACTTTATATAATCACATTGGACGCCATTTCTTTAACGTACATGCCCTCGGCAATAACATCTTGCAAAACAGTAGGATAGCACTTGTCAATACACAGAAAGACCAAGAATCTAGTGAAGTTTCGATCCTAGGTTGACATTTTAAACAGCCGTTCTAGTTTCGAAGATATCAGCACATAACGATTTGAGGTTGGTCAATAAGGCTTCGTTATTTTTTTAAGGCATTCTAAAAAAGGCTGAAAAAAACGTGCAGATCTCACCAAACTCAACCCTTCGCAACGCAGAAGTCAACTGCGGTGGCGAGAGTATCTTTTCCTCGCGTAGTCGCAGTGTGCGGCACGAAACGTATGACAAGCGCTGGAGTCCTTGAGGTGTTCCCCAGTTTCCTAAGTCATGCCTTTGTCTCATTAAACAACTCTGATTCTTTCCAGGGTATCGACCACAATCGGTGAAGTTGGCAGTTTCCACACAATCAACAATATCGTGTCCATGGATTGTTACAGTAAGTACACAAGAATTGCTGTATTGATTCCTATCTTCGTAAACTTTTTATCTTTGAGTCTTGTAGAGGAGCAGAGGGTTGTCAGAAAGACTAAAAAGAGGTTGGTGACATGCTAAACTTGACCAAGAAGAGGAAATAGAGTATAGGGTACATGGGTATGTATTCATTTATAATATCGATATTGTGTGGAAATGCATCTTGTAGGTGGAGTATTCTATTAGGAGTACGAACTTTGCTCAGTTCACGTAAGACAAATGTGTGTTTACTCGATCATACTCCCTGAAACTAATCCTGCCTCTTTATGATCAGTCTAAGAATTGTAGCAATAAAAAAACCAAACAAGTACAGGGAAAGACGTGCCCACAACAAAAACACTGAATACGCCTTGAGAGAGACGCTCGTCGGCCTTTATACGATGACTCGGGGAGAACGAATGGAATATCCCCCACATATCGTGGATATAGTGTGTGGCAAGCGGTCGGTTTGAAAATCGCTCGCGAGCGAGCGTGGACGACGTCGAGGCGAGGAACTTTCAAACCGACCGGCTGCCACAAGTGCAATTCTCATGCCGATCGCGAGTTCCGACACTTCTTTCTTGTCCGGGAGTCACATTTTCCTAGGTCAGAAAGACAGGATGGGCCGCTTCCAGGACAGAATTATGTAGAACTACATAGGTTGAGTGCCAGGGAGTAAACTATGAAATGTAGCCCCTTGCTTCATCTACTATAGAAGCCATTGGTGTTACCCCCCGGCTTTTTGTTTAACAATGTCTTGGTGAAAGTGCAGACTGGAGCTTACCACTAGGAAGATTTCTGCACCAGCATATGCAGGCAGCCATTTATTTATGATATGAGAGCTCACTTCAAAAGCTCATGGTTATTTCCTCACTCTACGGCAACCCTCGAAGCAGGTTCTCTCCATCTGATTCCCTCTGCGCGTTCCATTTTTTCATCTTCAGGAGATTCGTCAACGTTGCAGCGGTCATAGAGTACGGTACCTCATGCGCAGTGATACCGTAATATTCAACAGAACTGCTGCGCGTCTATATTGCCGCGAAGAATAAACGTGTGAGGGAAGAGGTGAGGTGTCAGCGGCACCACAGCGACAAGTGAAGCGAAACTCCGTCACCTCGGGACAGTCGGGGCGAGAGCTATGAAGGATGCCACTCTGGCCTCGATGTGCCAGAGCTGAGGCAGGGATATAAAAACGAGTAGAGGACGGCAAGCCTGAGTGGATGCATCGATCAAGGCCATTAAAATAATCAGAGGAAGACGAACTTTCCGAATAAATGACGGATGGATGCCCATAATTGGGTCTCGTGATGAGCGAGGATCTGATGCACCGTGCTGATGCGCGTTTTGAAATCTGCCAGGAGTCCAGAACCAGGACCCATATCCAGGGACCCAAGTCCCATTTCCACTCGTCGTTTCGTGCTCCTCAACACGTGTGCCACTCAAAGGAAGCGAGTCAACAACAACGAATGCTTTGAAGAGCTCGTTAGAAAGCCGTTTCGCATTGGGTAAGAGCGGAGCTCGCTTCAGCTATCGAATCTGTTTAGAGGTCAACAAATCTTGCTCGAAACTTGCGCAAACGTCAAGGATCATTGATCTTCAGCCATTTCAGGAATTCAAAGCTGTACATCGGCTTGGTTTTACCTGTTCCATCCGTCGTGATGCCTTCCGATTTTCCAGAGACTCATCCGCCCTTGCCCACAGACCGTGTGAAACCCCCACAACCGTCCTTCCGGGATCCTGCCTCCCATTCTTATCCTGGGCTTCATTTTACCGATCAACTTCATCTTGACCTCCATCTGGATCCCACTTCGAAGACCATCACAGCAAAAGCCTTCTACCGCTTTTTAGTTCTTGACGCCGCTTCCGAGGTCTTAACTCTCGATGTCCGCAGCCTCGATATCGACACCATTCGTTCTCCATCCCACCCAGACCCACTTTCATATACGATATCCAACGAATCATCGCCGATCGGTGGTGCGCTACAAGTTTCCCTTCCACCACAACTTCGTGTCACACCTTTACAACTCGAAATTACCTACACCACTTCCGGCACAGGCGCCCCACATCCTGCTGGTGGTGCAATGGATTGGCTCTCCACGTCCCCTGCAACTGCGGATGCCCCGTTCGGATTCACTCAATGTCAAGCCATACATGCGCGTTCTATTGTTCCATGTCAAGACACCCCCGCCGTCAAGGCTCCGTACTCGGCTTTAGTTTCGATTGCCGCTCCTTTCGACACGCTCCCAATCGTTATGTCTGCACAACGCGTCCCTTTGCACCAGGGCGACCGGGCGAACGCCAGTAGATTTGAGTGCAATGTGCCAATCCCCAGCTACCTGATCGCTTTTGCGTTTGGAAAGCTTGAGTGGAGAAAGCTTTCCAGTAGATGTGCAGTTTGGGCACTCCCCTCTGTAGTCGAAAAGGCCAAATGGGAATTTGAAAATGTCGAACAGATGCTTCAGGTCGCCGAAGAGGTGGCAGGACGATACGTCTGGGGTAGATACGATTTGCTCGTTCTTCCCCCTTCCTTTCCTTACGGGGGTATGGAAAATCCTTTCCTCACCTTCGTTACCCCAACACTGCTTTCTGTAAGTACAGTACGACTTTCCGCCCTTGTCTTTTATTTCCGTCGGCCAGATACTGCGACCATCGCGTGCAACAGAAGCCATCGTTCTGACACAACACATGCGTGGAAATACGAATATTTTCTTGCAGGGTGATCGCTCTTTGGTTAGCGTTGTTGTTCACGAAATAAGTCATTCGTGGGCAGGCAACCTCGTATCTTGCCAAGATTGGCGGCATTTATGGGTGAACGAAGGATTCACCGTGAAACTTGAGCGCCGCATTCTAAAGCGTTTATACGGGTCAGGACGGGAAGGATTGGATGCAATTGCTGGCCGTCAGACGATGAATTCATTTATCAAGTCTTTAGGAGCCGGTCACAAATACACATCACTCGTCTCAAAACTAGAGGCTGAGGAAGATCCAGACGACTATTTCTCATGCATTCCGTACGAAAAAGGTTACAGTTTTCTGTCCTGGCTTGAATACTGTGTGGAGCGAGAGACTGGAGAAGACTTTCACGGTAGGTCTCGTCATGTTGTATTACGGCCATTCACGGAACGAAAATCGCACGGCATTCATTATTCGAAAGTACTAACGTCTCTGCACCATGACTGTTGCATTCCTCTTATCAATACCTTCGTCGCAGAATTTTTGAGGACCTATTTCACAAAGAACCGATACCAGTCGAGTACTTCAGTGGACTTCATTCACCTCTTCAAGGAAAAGTTTCCGGAGGTTGGAGACAAAATAGATTTCGACACATGGTTGCATGGTGTTGGGCAGTGTCCTGACCTTGCCCCAGTTGACACTAGCCTTGTAGATGCAGCCACAGACCTCGCTCGCAACTGGCTCACATTGTTTGTAGAGTTCCCGGAAGATTCTGAAGATGCAAAATCTCTCATCGAAAAGAACCTTCGCGTAAGGCCCTCTGAATTCCAGAAATGGGATCCCAAGCAGAAGCTATGTTTTTTGTACGAATTACGGGCCGGTATTGATGCAGCAGAGGAAGGAGACGAAGTCAACTGGAATGCACGAGCTGCTCGCATCATGGACACTCTGTACGATATGGGCAGCTATCGCAATTCTGAAATTCGTTTCGCGTGGGTCCGTCTCGCCCTCTTGGCTGGGTATTTCGAAATCATTGAAAATGTGAAAGAGTTTGTGTCGTCTCAAGGACGGATGAAATTTGTTCGGCCTTTGTTTAACGACTTGCACAAAGTCTATCCCAAAGGTACGCTTGCGAAAGAGCTGTTTGCGACAGTGAAACCTTCGTATCACAGTATTGCTTTAAAGATGATTGAGAGGGACCTTTCAATCGAGCATTCGTAAAGCACTAGCCCGTAGAGAACATCCTGGCATCAGTTAAGCCGTCCCGGCTTCGGTGTGCACAATACCATTGTGCATCACTGTCGAAGCTATTGTAACACGAAAATGACGCTTTGTTCATTGTCGTATCGTAGAGGACGCCTTCCGCGCCTCTTGTGCCCCTTTTCGAAGCGATGAGCGCCACCGCATTTGCTCCTGCCTGGAAATGATAAACCCGTTCCGACGGGGAACTCCACCCCTGCATCTGCGAACCTGTTTCTACTACATTTAACATTCGTGAACATTACAGTAGAGGCCTTTCGATTATGGGACGCACGAATCAGGCGCCATTTATAGGTGACCAATGATAAGAGAAAAAAATCGTGTTAGGAAACTATTGAAGGGGTTTTGGACCTCCATGGTAATGTTGGGTTTTGGCACTCTTCCTAGAAACCGCATTATCTTCCATAAGGCCTGGGTAGCGCAGCTGTTGAAAACTCAACAGTCCGGACAGAAGAGAAGCGGAGTGCGCAAATGTGGAAGATTCTACAGTAGTAGAGAAGAACATTCTTGAAGTAAAAGTTATCGCCTTCACGCAAATAACAACAGATCCCTCGAAGTGAATGTGATGGACTCCGTCCAGACTTATTACGTAAGGTAGTGGGTGCCCCGGTGTAATGTTCTGCGTACGAGGCTCGAATGAGGTCTTTTTTGCCATCCGTAGGCATTCTTTCTAAGGGTTACACAACAAATTGGTAGTTATTCAAAAAAAAAGCTCGTGAAACTGTAACAGCGGAAAAACAGCTTGCAAACATCAACACTACGGTACTACACCGTGAACATTATTTAGTCCGGGGGAAAAATTAGTGCGGGAACTGAATTAGTGGAGCCTCCACTATTTTCGTTCTGAGCCTTTCGGTCAAGAACAAAATAGTAGAGACTGTTCTAATTAATGGCCGCACATAAATTACTGTCGCTCAGAACACATATGATATATTAAATTTGAGACCCTACTGAATTAATCTGAGCAGCTGTTCCATTTTCCTCCCCTATATCATCTGCAACGTCCTCGGCGCTGTCATCGCCATCCGCATTGGGGTCCTTTCCCTCAAAATATTCGCGATGCCGGGCAACTATGTTCTGCAGATGCGGAAACAATTGTTTCTCATGCCACTGCCCATTTAAATCAAGCAACAAACCACATCTTATCATGGCTTTCCTCGCGTACCGGATCCCGTTTTTGTCCATCATATTATTAACCTCGCGAACCACGCGAGCCGCGAGACGAAGAAAAAAGTTTTTTCCAGGGTTAGGTAATTTTCCAGACTCCAACGTTCCTTCCTTCCATGCTTGACTTCCCAAAAGCTCGACCTTTTTCTCATCCCAAAGTGCCCGCTATCTCTGCTTAATTTTCTGAATTATGAAGCTATCTGCGGGTTGACACAAATGTGTCGAGTTTGCAGGCAAAAAATGGATCCTTGAATTAATGGCATTAAGTTTCTCCTTCGGCTCAAAATTTGAGTTATGACCTGAGCAATTATCCAAAAAAATTGTGCGCTGCCTCCCGTATGTGTCCCGTTTTACGGCACGGGGCTCAGTCAGCCACTGCACAAAGACCTGCTGATCCATCCATCCCTTTGGGCTTGTACGATATGATACCCCAGGTAAGTCATCCGGCACACCCCTTATTGGGAAACTTCTCGTCGCATTTTGGAACACCATAAACGGAGTTTCTATTGACGCATTCCTCCCGCCAGTAATCCTTACCACCATAGTCATACCGACCCCTCCAGATGACACATCTGCATACCTCACGTCCAGTGTACCAATCACACTCAAAGTTTTCCCATCATCCATATTGACCACAAAATGGGTCTCGTCCATATTCTCCAGCATATCCTCCTCCAACGACCCGTTTCTGAACCCCCGACAAACCTGTCCAAGGTGGTAGGCTACTTCGCGCTCAATGAGCATTTCCTTAACTGGGCTCACCAAAAGCTTTCCACATTGCCTCCTGCTGATGATACCAAAGCGATCCATATAACTCTGAACCCATCGCTTTGTAATTTTACAGACCAAATCTGATGCGACCCTACCCACAAAGTCAACACCATATTCCCCGTCTGGGTCTCGAATTATTCGCTTGCAGAGAGCTCCAATAATACCAGCATTAAACTTTAAGCCGGCTTTAGAAAGGCGTTCAAACTCTTTCATGAATACAACTTGTACATTGCGAGCCCATGCCTCTTGCTTTCTGCCTCTCCCCTTGGAGGCCTTGACGCGCACAACCTTTCGTCCACCTGTCGGTTTACCCCCCGCAACACGTCGCCGCTTGACGAGATGGCTTACTACACGAACCTCTTCGTCAGCACTCGACAAAATGTTACTCCTCGCTTTAAACCAACGAGAAGCTTTCGAAAAGTTGGCCTTCTCTTTCCCCCGAAAAAGCCAGGAGATCTTTTTGATAGCTTTAGTGGCTATCAGCTTCCCGGAACCACTGGCTTCGGCCTCAGCCACCATCCACCGAACAACATGAACACGCTCTTGAATAGTGGATACTTGCTGTAGGCTTCTTTTTCTGTTTCCTTTGGGGAATGGCTGTGCAGAAGCAGCTTCAGGGACAGACGGTTGAGGAGTAAAAAGGGAGGAGGATGACGAAGAATCGTAGTCGAGATGAAGGCTGGTGTTGCTATTGTGCGATGATTGAGCGTTTTGGATTGCTGCGACAATCGGAGAAGGGGAAGGGACATTCATGGTGAAGATAAGTTGGTTGAGGTGATGGATACAGTTTTTCATGAACTGTTTGCTTTAATACACATGCTAAGCGGATGGCATAGCTGCTTAGAATTAACATAGTTTGAAACTGGATGCATTGTTGCTTTCAGAGTGTTTCGCAACGTTACCAGAGTTTTGTATACCGTTGACTACAAACGGTTAACGTTGTGCAGAGGCGGGGACGTTTTTTGGTAACGGGTCGACCTGGAGCCGCAACTGACCATTTTGTGCTGTAAAAATCGGCAATATTTTTTCCAATTTCTGTCAATCAGGCTTTTACTAATTTATGTGGGTACCTGAATAGTGCGGATACGGAAATAGTGGGGGCCGTGCTAATTTGTGTTCACGAGGCTCAGATAGGACCCTAAAAATTAGTGGGGGCCGGACTAATTAACGTTCACGGGTGTAGCTCTACTAGGCTAGTGTCGGGAAGCGTCATGATCTTGACGCAGTTGTTGACAACGTCTTGTCTTGACATCAAGAAATGAGATCAAAGGGAAGTTGCGGTTGCCTGATTTTTATGAAAAACTGTTTTTGAAAAAGCTTTTGTGGTGAACGTCAGGCGTTTTCCAAGTGTGCCAGTAGAAAGTGATATGTTGTGTTATGATTGGCGAAGAGATGTTGGCAGGATATTATTGTAGCAAATGCTTGTAGAGGGTGATAAACAGAGATCGATATCTGACAGCGTGTGGTCTGTACTGCAAATTAAATCCAGAAACGAGCATTGAAGATGTTAAAATGAATTATTATCTTCCGGAGAACCCCACAGCGCAACCCTGGACTGCCATTTTTTCGGACTTCAACACTAAAGCGAAAACCATGTTTTCTACTTTTGCCACATGAGCCAGCACGTGAGCCAGCACATGAGCCAGCACAACTCAACTGCAACAACTTCTTAACTCTCAATCCTCAATCTTCAATCATCTGTACTGCGACCACTGCTCCACTGCTCCACTGCGACGTGCGACGTCGCGCCGTTTAGCAATCTTCTCCAGCAGCAGGGCCTTCCACAGCACTGACGTCACACCCTCCACGTCACGTTTCGATACTTCGTTGAGGGGTGAGAGCTCAAACTGCCGCTAGACCTTCAGCCCATCTGTCTCCCGCTCCCACTACCAACTGGGTTACAGGTCCTTTTTCGTTTCACTTCAAGAATGCCTCAACGCCGTCTCCACCCGTCTTTTGTACCTGTCACTGTCGTATGCCTGTCGTCCAAAAGGGCTAGGCGACATGCAACCCCATTCTGTTGCTCGACTACGGCAGACTCGGATATTCCTGCTACCCCACCTCGCCTGCAACGTCCCGCAAGTGCACCTAAAGTCAGCAAAGTACCTATAAGTGCCCCCGTTCCAGTTAGCAGGCAGGTAGGCTTTGGTCGTCCTGTCACGGTCGACGAGATGACACAGAGCCTACACGGAACGGAGGATCCTCTTTGGGAGCTCATGAAGCGAGAGGCCAGCACTGCTGCTGCTGATGAACCACAGTTGGCAAGTTCTCTGTACGCTAACATCCTTGTCCATGACACCATGGAGGAAACGTTGTCCACAGTATTGGGAAATGCCCTCGATACATCCACCTTTCAGGCCACACAGTGGATGGAGCTTTTCGGAGACGCACTCTCAGATGATCCGGAATATGGTAAGGCAGTAAGAGCTGATGTTACTGCTTTTATGGACCGCGACCCAGCTACGAGCCATGCTGCAAGGGTGCTGCTGTATTCGAAAGGGTTTCATGCATTAGAATCGTGGAGACTTGCTCACTGGCTTTGGAAAAAGGAACGTCGTTCGCTGGCCCTATATCTCCAATCGATGATTTCAAGCTGTTTTGCTGTCGATATCCATCCAGCCGCGACTATTGGAAAAGGCATTCTTATCGATCATGGCACTGGAATTGTAATTGGGGAGACAGCGACCTTGGGTGACAATGTTTCTATGCTACATAATGTTACTTTAGGAGGGACTGGAAAAGAAACCGGCGACCGACATCCTAAGGTTGGAGATGGCGTGATGATTGGGGCGGGTGCAACCATTCTTGGAAATATTACGGTTGGGACGGGTGCACATATTGCTGCTTGTTCTGTCGTGCTGAAGCCGGTGGACCCTTTTGCAATCATTAGCGGAGTTCCAGGGAAGATGGTGGGAAAGGTAACATACAAAGCCGGAGTCATGCCGTCGTTTGTGATGGACCAACGGTTGAGCATCGAGGTACTAGGAGTTGCAAACCCTTACCAGAACGTGATCACTGGTTCTGTGAAAGGTGTGGAAGAATCTCAAGGCTTCGGCGGGAGCTCAATTTAGTTGTTCCGACATTCTACATGCGAGACGAGGACCATGCGAGTCAATTGAGGGAAATGGACCATGACATAAGTGGGTGACAGGGGCATGAAAGGAATCGCGTATAACGACGATTAGGTTTACTGTCAGTGGGACGGACGACCCGAAGCAAAGGACAGGTCAATTACGAAAACTTACGCACATTGTAAATTATACGACAGTGATTCCTTGCCGGAATAGTCGAGCACTTGAGATATGCTTCGTGTGCCTTGAAATATGTGGTCTTCGGTCGGAGAATGTGCAGCTTGGTTAGTATTATCAGAAGTCTAGGTCACAAGTGGCTTTATTGAAGAGATATTCCCGGCCTCGAATGGAAACGATGCCTTCTCGCAGGATGACCTTCCACTTGGGGCCTTTCTTCACACGGTCATGCTGCGCTAGAATCATGTTCTCTGCTTCTTCGTCCAAAGGGTTGTTATCATCGTCACTGTCCTCACTATCCAAATCCTCACCGCGATCGGCTATTGGAGCGTCATCGTCCACTCTTCGTCGAGCAGGTGCGGGGCCGTCATCGAGGTCCAGTCTTCGTCGTTTCGCAGGTGGATCCGTATGGGCGCTGGCATCGCTGGGTCGGACTAGGCTGGTCTCTGATTTTGACGAGGACAGGACGGTGGAGTCATCGGTTTGATTGGTAAGCGAAGCCACAGAAAGCACACCGTTTCGGCTGGCTGGTTTTGAGGGAGATTTAGGACTCTTTGGACTCAGACCTTTTTTTCCGTGTTTGGCTGAACCCTTCTTCCCACCTTTGGCTGCGCTGGAGGAGGGTTTGTCGATGATTTCAGGGTCGTCTGTAAAGTCGTGAGTGTGAACAAGGCGGGTTGTCCAACGAGATTTGAGGAGATTAAGGCTTTCCATGGCGCTGTCGTCGGCTCCGTGTTCATTGATTTCAGCGCGTGAGCCTTCAATGGTGGCGTCGATGATTCGCAAGTATATCTCTTTGACGTGGGACTGATTCATTTCGAGGGGGCTTACAAGAGAATGGGAGAGAGGGCGGTTATGCAGAAGCAATGTGGGGGGGTTGGTTAATAGGGAGGCGGAAGGGGAAAAGGGGCGGGAATCAGGGGGAGTGACAGCGCGGAGGCGGTGGGGGAGTGGATGGGAAGCGGTGGGGGTGCTCCCGGGTGAGTGCGGTGGAGCAGGAAGACGGAAACGAGAGTTAGCAAAAATTAGCGCTTGCTTAAGTACGACGGCGCCCTCAAGGACACCTGTACCACGGATTTCAGCCAGTAGGCGAGTTACACGAATAACAGCTCATATGAGGTGCTATGCAGCGATATCCTCGTGCACAGTCCAAGATGCGAATCCACGCACCACCACCCTGTTTTTCAAAGCCAGTGCATCTTCCATGGGTACACACGAATCAAGGTAGCCAACGCGTATAATTTTACATACCACCTCACCATCTGCTTCCTTTAGCTCCAGATTGTCTGCACAGTACGTCAGCAACTTATACTGTACGTCGCAATTGACCCGACATAATGGCACGTGTCTGCATCACCAACAAGTGAGTCATGCGCATGCTTGCCTTGCCTCATTAGCGCTCGGAAGCCGCTACTTCTTTAGCCTTGTTCCCCGCGACACCGCTCTCTTTTATTCGTCGGAGTAAAATGCATGAAGCCGCGCAAATAGGTACTCCCTTCCACGAATTCGAGCAATCCCGGATACAATTGGAAACCGCAAATAATCAAGACTCATTTTTGGTTTAGAATAGAATAAACGCAAGATGAACTCCTCGCTGTTGAACTCTTCGTCGCCATTTTTGAGCGCGTACTCAATTTCGCTATCGGTCGAATCTAACTCTTCCTTGCCATCAATTCGGGACTCTACCTCTTCGTGTCGAAGCATTCTCCGTGACCACTCTTTTTTTGTCCTCATCTGCAATTTCATTCGCTACTTTCGGAGTATCTATGCATGTTGCCTTCATATGACTCACTGCAGGTTCTGGCATCTTTGATCAGGAATAACAAGAATTGATCATCGTTGAATTCTCTTTTCTTGCCCCATTTTGCCCTTGATACAATGCCCCAGGAAAGGCAGCCTGCTTTTCTTGTCGGGCATCTGATGGCCCAGTTAAAAGAGGTATATCTTCTTGGACGATTTCCTTTGCTTTGAGGTCATCTCTAATTTGTTCATGCTCCTTAGTGTCCTGTGAAGAAAGTTTGATGAGCATAGCTTTCTTGTTAATTTTCTTCAATGCTCTTCTCAGGGCCAGTTGGTTTCAAACCCTTGTTTCCCAAAGTGCCAAACTAGAATGTGGTTCACGTGTATTCTGCACTAGTGATTTCTCTGCTTCATCATATGCATAGTCTCTTGCCACTTCCGGCAAATTATGAAAACCGTAGATGTCCCCTGATACTGCACGCAGTATGGCAGAGATGCCGGACGTGTCCAATGATGAAATACGACTTATCCTTCTTGCTTTTGAAGTGGGAAAATCCGGAGCAAAGCCCGTGAACGTATGAAAAGAATCTTCCCCAAGCAGCAAAAGAGCACTGATGCCTTCTTCTCCTAATTTCCCGCTGGATTTTATCTCGAAACTCCTTATCCCGTTCCCTTGTCTTTCCTTTTTTTCCGTTGCCGCTTCTTTCGCCCTGAAACTCGGCCATCTCTTGCCTCTTTTGCTTGGAAGCTGAACAAACGCGTAATCCTCCTCGAAGCTCCGAAAATGAAGATGAGTCCATCGCTGCTTTAGGGCATCGACAATTTGTAGAGCTGTTTAATCCTCCGTTTCTTCTAATGTTGCACTGAGTTCTTCAATAGTTGCGTCTATCACCCTTAAATAGAGCTTTTTGACCTCTGACAGGAGCATTTCCGAGATAATTTCGACTCAGGGGCGACAATGATAGTTCCAATAACTATCCACTTCGAAAAGAAAGAACGAGTTAGCCATGTTTCCAAACAGTCTGTTGCAGAATAAGACCAAGGAGGTTTCTATTGCTCATTCAAAGTGTATTTCGGCCTCTGTTCTGTGTCCCTTTTCGGTACCTGAAGGACTGAGGTCCTTGTACTCTGAATACCGTTGCTGGAAGGTTGCAAATTTTTGATCCTCGTCTCTGCGTGCATTGGTCTCACAAAATCAGTCATATGTAAGTGTCGATACACACGAGCTGGGCCTCGTTTCACCAACCAAAGCTAAGATTTGCGAGTCGGTTCAGACAAGAGGTCGACAGAGAAGCCTCGGGACGCACGTCGTGCAAATGCATTTTGTGGAGTAGCACCACACAATTCTGCAGATTGCCTCAGGTGTCGTCTGTTCGAACCGTTTCAGCCCTCTCACCAAGCACGCCTCATGGGCAAGCCACCTTATCTTACTGCTTACTACCGTGGTGTTGACCCATGATCGATAGGCTCGAATGAATCAGCCTTCAACTCCTTACTTCGGTGCTTCACAAAAGTTGCATCTCTCGACTCATAACCATTCTTGGCGACTGCAGATCCCAACGAATACAGTACAGCCATTTTATTCTAATCTCTACGTAGCCCATAATAAAATTACATGAGCGATATAGCACAGTACATAGTTTCGCTCATCCCAGCGATCTTATTCTGCAATGCCGCCGGTGTTGACGAAGGGCGAACAAAGCCGAAGGGCTTATCATGAGGCGAAGTACTGATATTTACCCCAAAGATCTTTTCCAAGCAGGCTTTGGAGAACAGCAGCAGGGGCATTTCTGACCTTTTACACATTTAAAACGAAGGCCTATTTCTGGGACCATCGCGGCTGATATATATTTCCAGCCTGTTGCCAAGGGCCAGGCAAGAAAGGTCGGAGAGGCTCAAGCATCCGTCATCCCTTGAACAGTGCGGCAGTCCTGCAGCGCTGGTGAAAGCGACGCCAACGTTGCATCTAACCTTCAGCATAATTGCTGCTTGCGCGGGAGTTCCACGAATGTACTAGGCAGGATGAGATTTACGCAAAACGTGAATCACTTGTCCGTAGCCTTGCGTGGAATCAGGAGTCTATCGTCCAAACAGTCCACAGTAGATCCCGCCGAAGTGGCGAAGTTTGCAGCGACTGCAGCGAAGTGGTGGCACCCTGATGGTTCGGCGGCCCCGCTGCACCGGATGAATCCCACTCGAGTTGCGTACATTCGTTCTGTTGTCGAGCGAAATATGGTGAATTTGCGTGGTCTGCAAGCCATTCCACCATCATCGAAACCATTGACTGGCATATCCCTTGTAGATGTAGGGTGTGGAGGTGAGTTGGCGCAACAATTCAGCATCACATGACAGAAGCTGAGTGAAACTATGAATTCAGAATAGTATGCTAACCGTACAGCTTTTCTTCTTCGATTTCTCTCTACTTGCGTATAGGCGGACTTGTGGCGGAACCGTTTGCAAGATTGGGTGCATCTGTCCTGGGCGTCGATATGTCCAAGGAGAGCATAGAGGTTGCGAAACATCATGCCAGCATGGATTCGTTTCTAACTTCTTCTGGCCTCCTGAAGTACAAAGAGGCTGCCGTAGAGGACCTTGTGGCGGCCGAGTCTTCATTTGACGTTGTGCTGGCCTTAGAGATCATTGAACATGTTAACGAACCGACCGCGTTTGTACGCAATTGCGCAAGTCTTGTTCGCGAGGGCGGTGTCCTCATTATTTCTACTCTAAATCGGACACTGAAGTCATATGCACTGGGAATTATAGCGGCGGAACGCATCTTGGGTTGGCTTGCGCCAGGTACTCACGACTGGAATAAGTTTCCGCGTCCAGAAGAGGTTGCGCACATCATCAAGGCTGAGACCAAGCTTATACCTGAGGAAGTTATAGGGATTGGATATAATCCTTTGTCGGGAACATTTTCCATTGTCAATGATATTGACATGAACTACATTCTGGCGGCCCGACGTCCATTGTTGAACATAGGCACATCCAGCCCTGCACCAGAAAAACCATGACGTCTATGTCGCGGACAGAGTCTTGTTTAAATTACTTCTGATGGAACAGCAGCACGTACAAATCTACTTCGCAAGCAATCGGACACATCAGCGCGATCCCCTGGGGTTGTAGTGAGAACAGTTGCGAATAAAGCATACATATCCTCATACTCTGGACCGATGAGGGCCTTGACATCCCTTAACAACGACGGGGGCGAATTTGTACGACCGGAGAGAATGTTCGAGCAAGTCTTTTGCAAGCAAAAGTCACTCTGGCTAAGGTTTTCCTCCACGAACTTGTTCATGGCGACACTGGCAGTTAAGCTTGGAAGGGCGCATCTCAAGGCAATTAATCCAATACTATAAACGTCAAATCGATAAGCTGGTTTGAACACGTCGAGTCGTCTTTCGGGCGCTGTATAAATAGGATCGCAGGTCGCAAGTCGCAAACCCTTTTTCAGTGGAGAGGACCAGTCACATGAGGAGCCGAAATCGATGACCTTGAAGGGGGACCCATCTGGATCTTCAGGTACAACAAGAAGATTCTCTGGTTTGATATCCCTGTCATATAGGATGTTAGGAAGATCCATAGGAAGAGGCTGGTATCGTTAGATGTTGCCTGACGTGAATACGATAGCCAACAGGCATGGAAAAAGGATTGCAAAGTAGTCTTACCGATGGACAATTCCGCACTGCTGTAAGTCCTGAATGACAAGAGCCAACTCGTTCAGAATTCGAGCACTGAACTCTCTTCGAAGAGGAAATCCAGATGCATTTGTCCCGAGAATGCTGGCGAGTTGCGATACACGTGACGCATCTAAATAGTTTTCCAGGGTATCCCCGTCGCCTACACGTTCCCAGACGAGACCCATCCGCGCAAGTCCTGGAGTTAAGCTGGTTGCAGCAGGTAATATTATTTCGCCAACATAGTCAGGGAAGCGGCTCTTATCGCGAGACTTTTGGCGAAGCTTGGCGTTTGTGTATTTCTCCATGTTGAAGAGCTGCCTCCCAATGGAGGTCTCAATTGGGCATTTGACAACTATCTCAGCAATCTTACCACTGTTGCTGTCCGTGTATTCTCCAAAGAATACGAAACCAAAGTTTCCGGTTTTCGCCGGATAATCAAACTGCACATTGAATGCGTCTGGCGGCAAGTACTGAGCACAGGCAATGCGCTTTGTTCTCTTCCTTCGAAACTTAGGGAGAGTTGGGGCAAGAAATGCCATTTTCGATTGTGGTGAAGTTCTGGTGGGGATGGTAAAGCCGAGCGTTGGCCACTAAGATACGATAGCCGTGTACATACCAACTTACTTGAAGCTGAGCGATGAGGAAGGCAAGCTGCTGTGTGTGCGAATCGTGGCCACAAACTCCCTCACTTTCGTATTCCCGAATGGTGAAGATTTGCAAATTTGCATTTTTTTTTTGCACCAAGATGCATTGCTGGCAGATGGACCCAGGGATTTGAGTCAATTGGGGTTGATCTATGTGTGTAACGGGAGGGTTAGTGTCTATCGGACCATTGTCCTCATATGAGGACCTTGTTCGACCTATTTTATTCTTGACTTCCGCTTCCTCGACAAGAAAGAAAAAGATACCCATGCCACCATACTCGACTTCTGACTTGGGGCCAGAAAGAACTTTGTGAGAATTGCTTGTTCTTCCTGGTTGTTTTTAGATATGTCTGGAAAATAAGCTTTCTTAAACCACCTTAAAACCGCATGTAAAATAGCTTCGAAACCAAAAACCCCGGTTAAAAAAGGCAACTTGGTACTTCTGCATTGTATTCTTAAGCTTTCAAAAACAAACACGTTAAGGAAATAGTGCTCAAGGTAGCTTTTTGAACGTTCAATTTAATATATATATATTTGCAAAAAAAGAGCTGTTCTCATATGAGGACATCATCGTCCTCATATGAGGACAAGCCCCGGTCGGATAGACGACACCAGTGCGAAGCACTCGACCATTGATTCCCCGTGTGGAGCATCTGCGAGAAGTGCTGCTTCCTTCGCGAGCTTCTTCGAGTAGCATGCCTCGTCCCAAGCCATCACTCAGATGAAGACATATGTATGCTTTTGGGTGACTTCGGATGGCCTGCTGCATGGCTGCAAAATGACAATTACTACAGCACGGTTGCCCTCATTACTCTTTTTAACTACGTACCTGCATATTACATTCACGTCAACAGTCACCGTCCGCTATTCGATCCCGACGCTTCACTGATGATGGCTTTGAGTAGTGCACTCTCAATCCGTCCAGTTTCTTCCACCAATTTCGAGAAATAACCACCCGTCTCCAGCAACTTTCCTGGTGCATCGAATTCGACCACTCTACCGGCATCCATAACAAGAATCCGATCGCTATCAGCGATGGTTGCAAGGCGATGTGCAATTGTCAAAACAGTACAGTCGGATAGCTGCTCTCGTACAGTTTTCTGTACTAGCATGTCTGTGTGATTGTCCAGGGAAGCCGAAGCTTCGTCTAGAACCACGATCTTAACTTTTGTCAGAATTGCCCGAGCGAGCGAAAGAAGCTGTCGCTCTCCTGCAGAGAAGTTGTTCCCTTTTTCTTGAACGATTAGGTCTAATCCTTGACCGTCACTATCCAAGCTTTCATCCATACTCTCGAACGCGCTGCCCATATGGACCCGATGGAGAGCATCCCACAACTGCGAATCACTATAACTCCCAGTAGGATCAAGATTACTACGAATTGTGCCATTGAACAGCACTGGGTCTTGAGGGACTATAGACATTCGCGATCGAAGTTCGCGAAGTCCTATCTGTGCGATATCTATTCCATCGATGTAGATGGCTCCACTGCTAAGTTCCACCATTCTGAATAGCGATACAAGCAGAGAGCTCTTCCCACCGCCTGTCCTCCCCACAATCCCTACTCTTTCCCGCGGGTTGCAAACAAACGACAAGTCATGGAGTGCTGGATCCAATTCCGGACGGTATTTTAGAGAAACATTTCTGAAAATGATCTCTCCGCCTGAAGGCCAGGCCGCACCAAGTTCAGCCTCCCCAGACTTTTCATACTCCTCTTGGGGGGTCTGTGTAGCCATCTCATGAACTCTCTCGACACTTGTGAACATGTTCTCCGTCTCTGCAGCCTGGCGGACTCCCCCTGCAATTATGATTTCGCGATGAAGGAAAACAAGACAAGAATGTAAGAAGAGTGGACTTATTTGGAGTCGACAGAAAAGAAAAGATGAAAGACGGCATCGTACATTGAAGTATTCCAGTGATGAGGGTGCTTTGAGTAAGGGCCACTCCGGCAAGTCCGGCGTTCAAACTTGGACTCAATATTAGCACCAAAACACTTGTAGCCAAAACCACGAGAGCCGCCAGCAGATCCAGACGAGCGCCAACCCAATGGCCAACAGTTGTAAACATGTGAAAGGCTACATGATTGTCATCGACAAGCCCATTGAAGTGCGCAGAGAACACCTTCTGGAATTCGTGCGCCCTGACCGTTGACATTCCAACAAATGACTCAATGAATTGAGAATATATTGGACTCCTTGATACTCCATCGAGGCGCTTCAGTTCCCTGCTTGATTTCTTGTATAACCATTGGATGTAAAGGAAAAGCCCTATCACAGGGATAAAAGGGACAAGGAGCCATGGAATAATCGCTGCTATGGTCACTAAAGCCCCAAAAGCAACAAAGAAAAGTTGAAGACAATCCTGAGCTGTCGCTGGCAGGAGCACATCCATTTGGTCAATGTCTTTGCTAAATCGATTCAAAATCCGTCCTGCTGGATTCGTGTCAAAGAAACGGGGCCTGGCATGTAAAACTTTGTCCAACAAGTGATCGTGCATTCTACTCGAAGCAGAGATTGTTCGCTCCGCAAAGACTGATGCTCGTATTAACGTGAGCACGGCAGCGCTTGCCGCAAGCCCAAAGAATACTAACGCATAGAATCCATCCCCATTGGAAAACGAATCTTGCCGCCCCGCCGACTGGGAGCTGGCAAGCTCACTCCATTCGGCTAACCACCACTCTCCTACCTGACGAACTGCTTGCGCTAATAAAAATGCACCCGAGATGCCAAGCAATGCAACCAAACCCCCGCCGGCCTTGATGTATGCTTTGAATACGTTGCTCCTGACGTGACCAACACGTCGATCTTCTTCTTCTACCAGCCCTCCCTTTTCATTTGACGTCTCTCTCAACGAAGATAATTCTTTAAACACGAGTTGATCTTGTGAAGTGCCTCCAATCTCTAAACGGGTAACGTCTTCATTCTCAAACGATGCGGCTTTGGACTCCTCGTGTAATTCGCAAGGAGATCCGCCGTTCCCTCTCGTAATTTCCGCAACTTCAACATCGACCTTGGCATCTCTCAGGATTTGCTCGAGGCAACTCTCTTCTGCACTGTCCAGTTGCCTACTGTTTTCTTCATCTTCATCTTCACAGTACCTGCCAGCATCGCTCCGCTCTTTGTCTAAATCATCTTCGAAGCCGGAAAACCCCGAGAATTCGACTCCACTTGCTCGAAGCTCTTTGAATGTCCCGCTCCGGTGAATTGTTCCTCCCTCAAGAATAATTGTGCTAGAAGAATGCGGTAATATCTTCAACTGATGTGTCACAATGATTCGCGCTTTGCTCGCGAGTATTCCAGTCGGACCAATGACTCTGTCGATTAGATTGGCAGCTACCTCAGAGTCCACCGCTGAGAGAGGGTCATCCAAAATGTACAGGTCGGCTTTCGAGTATACTGCCCTGGCAAGCGCCACCCGCGACTTTTGGCCACCAGATAAATTGACCCCCCGCTCTCCTATTTCGGTACTGTCGCCCGCGGCAAGGAGTTCAATGTCTCTCTTGAGACAGCACGCATCCACAACAGTATGATACCAGGTTTCATCAAAGTTTTCAAGATTATCCCCAAACATGATCACGTTTTCGCGTAGAGTTGCATTAGTGATCCATGGTTGTTGGGCGCAATACGCTACACGACCATTCTTTTCCACACGACCGGATATGCAAGGGATCTCGTCCAGAATCCCCAGCAGCAAGCTCGACTTGCCACTTCCAACCGAGCCAATA